AGTTTTGATGCCTTCAGTGAGAATCTACAATGTAAATAGTCATGAAAATAAAGAAAACGCATTGAATGAGAAGGTGTGTCCAAACTTTTGGCCTGTACTGTATATAAAATGTATGTGTGTATAATATACATACATACATACATCCATCCATCCACATACAGTGCAATTTTCCCTACATATTTACCTGTGTCACTGCATGATGGGATGCCTAACACTATTACCATCTTTTACAGAGGTACACTCTACAAGGGCTTGGTTTGGGAGCCACTTGACACATCTCCTTGCTACAGATTGGAGACATGTACAAAGACTTTGACATTACAGAGAAACCTCTAGCAGCAACTATGGCCATCAGTGACGGGAAAACACTTGTTGAGACAGTTTTTGGCTTAGCACAACAGGGGAGTGTGCTCTCGTACCAGCACCCCAGTCTAGATGCACCAAGATCCTCCGCCTTACCCACCACTGCCTCTTGGGAGAGTACAGGCTTGCCCCAACAGAGTGTGTACATGTGTGCACTGAGGAGGAGCACTTCCACCTTAAAAGCTCGTTGGTCACACTGGACATGGCGGCCACAAGGGAGCAGGCAGCAGACCTCCGCAGGCTTAGGATCACCTCCTCACGTTTTAGAGAGGTGTGTTTTGTGAGGGGAGTGAGCTCTGCAGAGGCTCTTGCAGAAAGAATCCTCAAAGGAACAAGGCAGACTGCAGAAATGAGAAGAGGTGCAGACATGGAGTTTGAGGCCGCGATGGAGTACTGCAGGATGAAAAATGTCAACTACACGCCCTGCGGCCTCATCATCCACCCTGATGCTCTGGTGCCTCACCAGATGGCTTGAGTTTTGATCCATTCACACAGCCACCATTCGGACTGGTTGAGATAAAGTGCCCTAATGTGAAGAACTGTGTGGACTGTAAATACCTTCAGATGCAGTATGGCACTTTGGCTCTCCGTGAAAGCCACTCGTACTACTGGCAGGTGCAGGGTCAACTGTTGATCACTGGCCTGCAATGGTGCGACTTTGTGACTCGTGCCCAGGAAGACATGCTGGTGCAGCGTATCTATGTTGACCCGAAGGTAACAGCAGTCATCAGAGAGAGGGTGGACCAGTTTTACTTTAACGTGTACATGCAGAAGTACCCGTCTGTTCCCAAAAGATTTTACTGACTGATGCAGGGGAATTCAAGTGGGGGACTTTGACATTTCATACATTTCAGCTGAACTTTAAAATGTATTGGCTTCTTTCAGTTGTATTGTTATATTGTACATATGTTCATCAAAAGGTTTCATAGTAATTGTTATATAAATAGGTACTGTATATTTTGCAATGACCATAAAGAGAAAAATGTTTTTTTTTTTTTTTTTTAAAAAGATCTGTTTTTCAATGACAAAAATAACATTTCATAAACAATTTATGTGTCATGGTGCTTTGTGATTTCATATATCTTACTGTGTATGGTTTGATTTCATACATTTACTAGACATACAAGAGATAGAGAAGGGAGACAGTTAAAGGACATCTACGGTATTTTTCAACCTGGGCTCTATTTCCCCATGTGTATGTGTGCATATGATTCATAGGTACAACTCGTTCTAAAATTGGTTCAGTATTGAGGGAGGCGGATGCAGCTGGCAGCCGCGAAACGAGCTAAAACGGTAATGGGGGCAAATGCGTCCCGTATAAGTTTGCGCATTAAAAGTGCTTTTTTTCGCCACTGACCGGTTCAGATCGCCAGTGCTATGAGTGCTATGAGTGCTATGAGTGGAGTCAGCTGTCAGTTAGTGTTGGAGCAGAGAGGGGGGAGGGCTGCCCCGCTGGGTACTGTAAGTGAGTATGTGTGTATGAAGTGTGTTTTTCGCCACTGACCGGTTCAGATCGCCAGTGCTATCTCTGTAAATAGCATACTAACTTAGCCTTTCCCTTACCTCTGGGCTGTGTGATGTCACGAGCTTTGCTCCACTGTGTCTGTAGCTCTCTCTACTCGTGGGACAGCCATTTTCTTGAGGAAGAGGTGTTTCAGGATTGGATGTCTTCTCTTCTTCGGCTGGCAGTAGTCATCTTGGGAGAAGTGAGCACTGTAGACCCGATGGTCTGCAAGGCGCAGTGTCTGGACAGGAGTGTTTGCATCCATTTGTAGCACAACTAGCCACAACGTCAGCATCTCACCGTCCGACAAAGGCAGCCTGTGAAAGCTGTACGGGGTGTTGCGCGACATCCTGTTCTTGCGTTCGGGAAAAAGGCCCATTTATTTGAGCACTCCAAAAACTCTGGTAACACTCCAGGGGGTAGCACGTAAAAGACTCCGTCCTCTGACTCTTCTAGCGTAACACACACACTTCATACACACATACTCACTTACAGTACCCAGCGGGGCAGCCCTCCCCCTCTCTGCTCCAACACTGACTGACAGCTGACTCCACTCATAGCACTCATAGCACTGGCGATCTGAACCGGTCAGTGGCGATAAAAAGCACTTTTAATGCTCAAACTTATACGGGATGCATTTGCCCCTGTTACCGTTTTGGCTCATTTCGCGCCTCAATACTGAACCAATTTTAGAACGAGTTGTGCCCATGAATCATACACACACATACACATGGAGAAATAGAGCCCAGGTTGAAAAATACAGAAGTTGTCCTTTAATGAAAACAGTTGGCAATTTGATAAATTAAACCACTCATAAAAATTAACCACAAAGTCAAGATGTAGAATCTGTATCAAATCTGCAACATCAAAGAATCTAGTGCTTGCTAACATTTTTGTGTAGTGTTATTGTTTATCACACAGAGGGACAAACTGACAATTGAGGGAGGCTCATTATCAGTTTGACGAGCAGGGGCCTGTTTCAGAAAGCAGGTTCAGAAAAACCCTGAGTATAACCCTGAACTCTGAGTTGATGAACCCTGAGATGGGACACTCAGAGTTTTCGGTTTCAGAACAGCTGATAAGAGTCAGAGTCAACTCTGAATAATATCACAGGCCATTCAGTGCCACAAATATCCAGAGAGGCTAGCTCAATGAGGTTAACACATAGTCAGTTCTTTGGCCCAAGCCTTGACCAGTGGCTTGTTTTGATAGTTTGTTAGGAGGCAGGCTACCGCAAAAAGCTGGTTGATACTGCCAGCAATGGTCAGAGGAATAATAGTGTCAAACAGTTTGTTCTCTTTGATGCGCCTGATTGTCCTCTCCACATGTATCCTTAACCGTGCAATGTCCTGAGTGAACAGCACTTCATGAGACAGTCTGTAAACTTTGCAGGGCTCTAGGTCATCAATTCCAAATCCCTTGTCCACCATTACAGCCATATCTTTATCCAAAAGAGGGATAATGCCAGATTGCCTGAACAATTCTTTGTCACTGATAGAGCCAGAATACAATGAGGAAACAAAAGTAACAGCACCATGTGGTGACACACCTATCATTCCTTTCAGGGTAGTGTGGGATTTATACTGTGAAAACATCTCACTCTGTGAGAGCAAAGATGAAGGCATCTGACATCTCATCTCTGTGCAGTCAATGAGCACCTGGGTGTCAGGGTACTTGCTGAACACACTCGGCATCGTGGCTCTAATTGCTTCAGGAGACATCCATATCCCAATGGCGCCCATGAATGTGTACAAAAAATGTACCCAAGTTTTGATTATCCTGCTGACGGTGGACTGATGAATGTTGAAACGATCACTCAGATCTTTCTCCTTCAGACCCAGCGATAGGTACACCAAGAACAGGAACAGTTCATCAATCAGTGGAAGGCATCGGCTCTGGTGATGGAGGCAGGGGGGACAGGTCTTAGTGGTAATAACAATAATCACTGCCTGATCATCATAAATGTATGTACAGTGGGGTCCAAAAGTCTGAGACTGCCACTTTGTGTTTTAAATTAGATTGAAATATATAGTGGTGTTCTCTGAATGATGTTGTATGAACTGTGCCTACCGGTGGACGAGGTGGATCAGCGGCCTTGTCAGGAGCTGCTGTTGTGCTGGAAGTAGATGACGTACCAACAGGCACGATTCTCCACGTTGCAGGCTCAATCTGTCTCCAGAATGCCTGTAGATGGCGGTAGCTGGCAAATCTAAAAGAGTGAAACCACAGTATGATTACCTTTAAACCAAAGCATAACCCATTATTGAGGTTTGCCCTGGTAGATCTTGCCAAGAGGCAGTGGCAGCACACTGGCCTAAATGTTTTGCTCCTGTTAGAATGAATTTCAACATAGATTGAACAGATTGACCAAGAGATTTTAATCACCCATAATCTCGTTTTTAATAACTAATACATACCTGGTATAGAATCTGATGTCATCATCCGATGCTGAAAACCTCTCCAAACCAAACGACTGCTTCAGTGTGACCTCAGCCAGTGTCTTCTGCAGCTCCTCTATCAACAGCTGCTGGGCCTCTATTTTCTCACATGCTGTATCCAAAGCTGATGGTTCTGGTTTTGCATCGTAATCGTGACACTGAAGCAACAGTCCAACGTCCATCTCATCCTCTTCAATTAATTCACCCTCTGGTTGTTTTGTTCTCTCCAGAGAGTAGTCGTTCCAGGCAAACAACACAGGTACAGCCCCCTCTTTCAGGCGTCGTCGCCCACGTTGAATTACATCCGTGGAGACGAAATGTCTACTACAGACTGCCCTGCTCCTCTTAATCACCAAATTCTCACGTCTCACGTTACGTATCCATATCTTTCTTAAGGTTTCATCCTTTGGGAAGCGGTGGAAACTTACGGTGGAGTTGTACTTCCCTGACATCGTGCATTGAGGTACACAGCAGAAATTATTGTTAGGATTACTTCGCTTCTGGTACTTTATTGGTCTTGACGAAGACATTTGCGCCCTCTCACTAACATTCAGATATCAAATAATAAATAAATCTAATAAAACGCCAACAGTAAAAAGTAAGTTATTAGCTAGGCTAGCTGATTACAAGTCCGTAGTTTACACCATCAGTTGTTCTTACCGCCCTCTCCGACAAGCGGAAGTGATGGGTACTGCTTTCCGGTTTCTTCTTCTTCTTCTTCTTCTTCTTCTTCTTCTTCTTCGGATTTTACGGCGGTTGGCATCCATCATTTTGGTGCATTACCGCCCCCTATCATTACGGATTTTTGGCTCTGCTCAACCCATATACAAGTATACACACCTATACAACAAACCTACTTCACTGACTCCTCATCCTGACTCCTCAAATCCTATTAAACAACCCCGTACTCCTTAAAAATTCTAATAGCACCCTTTGCTGAGACCTGTCACTCATGTCCAACAATCCTTTTAGTGATATTTCCTTCACTCCTGCATCCACCAGCCCCCTCCTCATCATCTCCCTCTGTGTTTCATACCTCCTGCACCTCAGAATTACATGCTCTACTGATTCCTCCTCCTGACACTCCTCACACAAACCAGAGTTATGCTTCCCTATTATTTTTAACATTTTGTTTAAGGCACTGTGTCTGATCCTTAGTCTTGTTATCACAATCTCCTCTCTCCTGCCTTTGCCAGCAATCCTTGAAGGTCTAACATTTTGTTGGATTTGATACAGGTGTCTTCCTCTGCTCTCTCTGTCCCACATGCTCTGCCATTTCTGATTAATTTTTCCCTTAATTACACTTTTCATTTCTGCCTTACTAATGCTTACTTGCATTTCAACCCTATTTGCTCTCAGTGCCCTTTTTGCCAACTTGTCTGCCTTCTCATTCCCTTGCAGCCCTACATGTGCTGGCACCCAAAAACATGTGACCTACCTCCCCTTTCTGTGTATTCTTGTGACTGTGTGCAGAACCTGATATAGAATGTCCTGCCTGCTGTTGGAGTGAAATGATGTGATACTTTCAAGAACTGATGCAGAATCTGAGCATATTACCGTCTTCTTTTGTGCTGTTATTTCCACCCATTTTAATGCCACCAACACTGCCACCATCTCTGCTGTGTACACCCCTAGTTCATCACCTGTTCTTCTATAAATACCCACTCCTTTTCCTGGTACCGCCACCCCGAATCCTGTTACACCTGTGTCTGGATTTTTCGCCCCGTCCGTGTACACCTGCACAAAGTCTTGATATTCTTGATTTATCAAGTGGCTAAATGCACTCAGTAAATCAACTGTTTTCTTCCCTGTCCTTTTAATTTCCAGCAGAGACATGTCAACTCTCGGACACACTAGTCTCCATGGAGCCTCTACTGGATAGACCACTGGTGGGCTTATCTGTAGTCCTTCAATAGACAGTTCTTTCGCTATTTTATTGCCAACTTTTGCAAAATGCTCCCTGGTGCTCTTCTCATTCTCCCAGCTGTCCTGTAGTACCTCTCTTGTTGGGTGATTAGCTCTATGCCCTTTCAAATTCGCTTTCCGGTTTGGTCACGTGACGTTCCACATAAAGCCTTGAAATTATATTAAATTAAATTGAATTGGCAGAGCAAGAGTGTGGGCAGGAACATTTGTGGCTGATTCATTAACTAAAGAAAAGTTTTATTTTGGACCTCATGTTTCAGGAATGAGCAACCAAAATATAAAGCGCTCTACAGATAACCACATGGTGGCGCTGTCCCATCACAAAGCACTTGCTCCCTCCTGCTGTTCCCCTCACGTGACGCGTGACTGTGACCTCTGATTGAACCTCGCGAGCAGGAAATAACAGTGAGGCGGCCTCAGAAGAGTGAGAACTGACGGAGACGCCACATACCGGAGTTGTTTATAGCTGACCAAAGCCTGTTGACTGGAGGAAGAATAACGAACAACACTGTGGCAAAATAAATATCGGGGGCGCTGAAAAACAGACGCAGTACGCCGGCAAATAATGCGTAAGGTAGGTGTTTAGCTAAGCTAATTAACGCTAGCTAGCAGGCAGGTAGCACAGTAGTTTGATATCTCATAGCTATCCTGCTAGCCTTATTAGCTTGTAGCGGATGTATCTCGATACATTAGCTAGCTTTTCTTGTAACGGTACTTATTAAATATGTCACTGTAACCACAGACAACGTTGAAACCGTCCTTGTGCCACGGGTATTAACGTTAAGATACGTAGCCTAACGTAACGTCAGTTTAATTGACTGCATGTTGCGTGGGGTTTGGTCACCGGAGCAGCGGAGGGTGCAAGGCCGTTGGTGTGGTGGTTTCAAGCTGCTCGGGGATTTACAGAGCCGTGGTGGGGTTGTGAAATGTGTCAACTGTAAACGGCAAATTGTGCAGTGTTTGTTTCCCTCGTTAACACCGTGTAGTCTGATCCCAAAAATGCCACCATGTTTGATTTGCCACTCAAAACATGTGGCGTTAGTTTGGTGAAAGACATGAAGAGCGGAGGCCACGAGGAAGAGCTGCTGAAAAGACCCCACGCATTTTAAGGGTTAAAATGAATATTTTCATTATCAGTGTTTGCTGGCATAAATTCAGACTGCCTACAAAACTACGCCCAGCCATAAATCTTTGTTTCAGACGTACTTAGATCTTATCATTTTAAACACACTTTCAGAAAAAAACATTGGGACGTTGTGTAAAATGAAAATAAAAACAGAATGCAATGATCTGGTAATGTCATGAACCCATTTCTTTTTTTTTTTTTAACAATAGGACATAAACAACATGTCAGATGTTAAAACTGAGACATTTTACCATATCATGGAAAATATTAACTCATGCTGAATTTGATGGCAGCAACACAGTGGTCAGATGAATCAAAATTTGAAGTTCTTTTTGGATACCACGCACACCTTGTCCTGCAGACTAAAGAGGAGAGGGACCATCCAGCTTGTTATCAGCCCACAGTTTAAAAGCCTGCATCTCTGATGGTATGGGGTTGCATTAGTGCCTGTGGTGAGGGTAGCTTATACATCTGGAAAGGCACTATCAATGCTGAAAAGTACATAGAGGTTTTAGAGCAGCATATGCTCCCATCCAGACAACGTCTCTTTTAGGGAAGGCCTTGCATATTTTAGCAAGACAATGCTCAACCACATACCGCATCCATCACAACAGCATAGCTTCGCAGTAGAAGAGTCTGGGTCCTGGACACGCCTGTCTGCAGTCCAGACCTTTCAACAATAAAAAAACATTTGATGCATCATCAAATGGAAAATACAACAAAGAATTCCTAGGATTGCTGAGCAGCTAGAATCCTACATCAGACAAGAATGGGACAGCATTCCTTTCTCAAAACTTCAGCAAGAAGGGATGCAACATCATGGTAAACATGGCCCTCACCCAACTTTTTTGAGATGAGTTGCTGACATCAAAATAAACATGAGCTGATATCTGATTTAAATGTCTCAGTTTCAACATCTGATATGTTGTTTATGTTCTACTGGGAATTAAATATGGTTTATGAGATTTGCAAATCATTGCATCCTGGTTTTACTTACATTTCACACAGCGTCCCAACTTTTCTGGATTTGGGGTTGTATAGTAATCGGAAAAGATCCATATGTCCAGTCAGTTCTCGTTCTTCTGCTTTTGTGTTTCCTGGGAGCATAACTCTACAGCACAGGGCTGACTTACGTAACATCATAAATATGCTAAACTCAAACACCATGACAGTGATTATCCTCAGCAGCCATTTAGACATACCATGTGCAGAGATAAGTCAGCTTTATCTGTGTGCTGGTATGCTCCAGTAAAACACTCCATGCACTCTTTTACAGGGCGTGTTTTGGAAAGCTGCTTGGCTTGTGTGAAGCTAGGGAAGCATGGTGCATTTATCTAATAGTCTCCCTGCTGTTTGAAACCAGGTTTTTAAAAATGTACTGTTGCTGTACTTGGGTATTGACACAAGGGATGAAACACACCACATTGTGCTGCTTTGCAGATGCCTGGTCAACTCCACAGCCTGAAGCCCAGAAAGAGGAAGAGCAGCTCCAGAAAGGTTTGTGTTTACCTGTATACAGGAGAGAACATCCTGCACAAAGAGCAAGCAGTTATGTTCTGCTGTTTGTGACTTAGAATATATCTGAAGTCAAATAATATCTGTCTTTAAACGATTTATAAAAGAACCATGTATGATGTTTTTCCATGAACTAGACAAATATAACTGGCTAGACATTGACAACTACAGACTTCAGTAGGCTCGCTGTTGTCCTCAGGATATTGATCATGGTTAACTATAACATCATCTTAACCCTGGTCTTAATCTTTCCTTCACAGACTTCTACCAGGAGGAGATGTGCGAAAAATCCAAAGACACAATCAGCAACAGAAAGCACTTCAGTAGTCGGTGGTTACAGCAAAGCAGACGGTCCTCTGGAGAGACTCTCTCTCATCAGCTGTGAGTGTCACCAGTCTGCAGGCAGGAGGAGATGCTCGGCATCACCAGAGCTCGAAGGACAGGAGGGCAAAGAAAATGAACTGAGGACAGGGCTGGATTTGGACAGTTGCAGAATGTACGGCGTCTGGGACAAACAGGACTCTGAGGTCATGGATTGTGAAGACACCAGCAAAAACATCTACCCGGATGACGACAGTAATCAGATTCTTCCTGTGGAGCAGTTCTTTGGAAACTTGGATACTGTACAGGTGAGGCATGATGGTTTATCTCCATAATAGGGACAGTCTGTGACTCAGGTTGGATCAAGAGGTTTTTGTAGAGGAAATTGTTCCCAACTGATGGCCAGTCAAGGAGTGGCTGTGCCAAAAAGACTCTGACTAAACATAAATAAAGCAGCAACCACATCTGTTGTCAAACTAATTTTTTACAGTTAAGTGCATATTTTAGTATGCAGCAGCATTGCCACTGAACATACTCTGAACAAGGGGTGTTGAAAAAGGGAGGGGTGGCAAGAATGACGTTATCAGTGTAAATAGATGCTGAACTAGTCACACTGATAAACAATGCTGGCGCAGCTTGACTATGCGGAGTGCCTGTACGCTGTCTGTGGTGCTGAACACCATGGCAATAGTAAACAATTGGTCTCATGCAGAGAGGCTATGTCTGAACACGTTTTGTTTGATTTATGTTTGTATCCACTATTTGTTCTTATTTTGTTAGTACCCATTTATCTCTGGGATGCACCAATGTTTCCTTATTTTGCTCTTCTCTTAGGTAAGAGAAAAATTAACAAGTGGTCGAGAGAGCACTCCGTTTTAGAGTAATTATAATAATTGGGTTTTTAAATGGATGATATTGCTTGCATTCACCTTCTAAATGGCTTACATACTGTTCTTGGATGCTTTGGCCATCCAGCTTCTGAGCACAAATAGCAAGTCTCTCTTGCATGCAGCATTACAGAGATATGTAATGTAATTAATATTGTGTTGTATATGACATTGTTAATTCCAAAGTAGTGTCCAGTATGTCAGATTTTTCTCAGCAGTTTTGTTCAACACTTAGTGGTGAGGCAGACTTGGTATGCAGCTCAGGTGGAAAAGTGTTACAGTACGCAGTTTATTTTCAGATAATATCACAGTGGATATCACTTTTATTTTTCACTTGAGGCATTCCACTTGCACCAACACAGAGTTTACTTGCCCTGGGCAACTGTGAAATTTAAAAAAATGCTTTGGTGGACACACAACAGTACCAGGTTGAGTGCACTCAATGCACTCTGTGGCTGATTTAGTTAACCTAGTAATAACGTGCAGAATTTGTTTTTCACATTGACTTACTGATTGGCTGAAGAGTTCTTCTATGCCACAACACCTCAGAGGAAAACCTTGTCCTTTTTTTACTCCACTACAATAATTTTATAACTTGAGTTACTTTACAAATAAAGATTTTTGCATATAAACCAAAAATATACAGCTGAAATGATTAGTCAATTGATTAAAAAGTTCATTGGCAATTTTAATATTCATTTATCGTTATTCATGCAAAAACAATTCATGGTTCCAGCTTCTCAGACATAAGGGAACAAGCTTGTTTGGTTCAGACCCCAGCAAAAAAACACATCATGTTTTCTTTTTGCATATCACGCAGCCCTTTGGCAGCACCCTCAGCACTGTGATGTGCAGCAGAAGAGTCAAGATGAACAAACATCTCATCTCACAAACCACACACCATAGGTTGTAAAGATGCAGAATTGGAAACACTGTGTCCCTACCAAAATGCCTTGCAGTAGCAGAAGTCAATATTATTAATACTGTACAAGTGCCTCTCCACCTTCCAACTGATGTTGAAAATATGACTCAGTGCCACCTGCAGATTTTTTCTAACGGCGAAAAGAAAACTGTGACACACATCTAATCACTATTTAATGTCTTGCGTCCTTTCTAGTATTACTTCAGGTACATTGACATCAGACCAAAGGATACTGTTTGAAATGTAGCATTAATATCAAAGAGATTCCCCAGATCAAAGACACACCGTAAAGAAAGGGTGTTTTCATAACCACAGTATCTCCATCAGTTGTTAAGTAACTGACTTGACTGCCAGTTGTGTCAGCGCAGCAGTTAAATTTGCTTGGTGAAGATTATGTCCATGTTGAATGAATTACAAAACACCTGACTGTTTTGTTCAGCAGGACTTCCCTCAGAGATCGTCAGGGACTTCAACCCATGTCCACAGGGAGAACAGGAGGCGACATTACTACGCACCAGAGGACAGCGATGAAGAGGAGTTGGGCCTCAGTAATACGGCGCGAGACGACAGAGTGGAGACTTAGTGAAGAGGAACTGCACTGATGACTGTGGTGGACTCAAAGTCCTGCCTGTGGAAGGACATGATGTTGCTCAGCACTTATTATAAAGCGGCCAAATGTATTCAGATACTGCATCCAATCAGTCCTTAGATCGTAACGCTGTCACACATGTACTGTGTGAGTTACTGGTGATGAGCAAGGGCGGCATGACGTTACTGTAGCTGAGTCTGATGTTGGCCTACCATCACTTACAAGCCAACATTGTATGTGTGTATTTGCTTTGAACCTGCTTCCATTACCCCGTCATGAACTGTGTGATTCATCACAACTCAAAAACTCATAATCACAGAACTCATCCACTGGTGTTTATGACTGTGTTAACTGTTTAAAGCAAGTTCTTTGTGGAAATATACAATTGTTGACTTGACAAGGACCGTCCAGATGCACAACGATGCTTAAGTGTTTTCAACCCTTAATGGTTAGTCTGAAATCTGAGTATTTTAATTGATATTTTTTTAACATAGTTACAGTCATGGGATTAATATAGCCACGTGTGGGGAACATATAGTGCCTGTTTATTATTTATTGCTGAATATATGCCCACACCACCCATGGTTAAGTCAGCTTTGGCTCGCCTGGCTGATGTGTGTGGCATGGCACTTTATTTAGACAAATGAGTCCACGTAACATACAGCTTCATAATTTTAGTGCAGTTTGAGATTAGCCTTGAGAGATGCCAAACAGTGTTGCATTAAAACAACAAACTCAGAAGGCTTTTTCTTCTCACAAATCTACAAATTACAAGTTCTAAAATGTAAAATGCAGAAATAACATGTTGATAAAAGCAGCACAAAGATAGATTTCATGGCCTGGTTTCAGACTGTGTAAATGTGGTAGGGCAGCAGAGTGCACGCGCCAAAGAGCAGATCCATAATAAGAGCTTTTAATATTACATATTCAGCGTTTTAAGATGAATGTCATTGCTCACTAAGTGTCTAATATTTCTCATCAACACATCTTAATGTGCCAAGGTTTTGGTTTTGGTTTTGGCAGCTGTTTAACATACAACACATCTGTAACATAACATAACACACATTTATATCAGTGCAGCTAATAATTAGCCTTGATGAGCAGGCACACAGAATTCCAACAATACCTTTGGAGATTTAAAAATAAAATGACCTGAAATATCGTTGATTATATTACAAGCAAATAACCAAAAACATCCTGTTAAATTCTACGGATTTTCATTCTGGACCACTTACGAAAACTGTAAAAAAAACAAAAAGAAAGAAAAAAATACAAATAGACTAGATTCTATATGAAAGATGTTTTATTAAAAAATGTGGACTTAAAATGTTTCTTATAAAAGTTTTTTAGCTTGTCAGTAAAGTGAGGATAACTTAAATCTGACATTAAAAATGAAATCTGGTCATCGGATTTCTTCGTTAACAGTAATTGCACTAGTGCTTTTCACTCCTATGCAACTTTCTGACCGAGTGAATGCCACATTGTATTAATTCATGCATTTTACATCACCGTGCCAACATTAAGAAGAAATAAAAAATAAAGCTTTTTCATGATTTCAACATTTGTTTGTGTAATTTCCTTCGTTTTACAAAATACTGTCAGTCTGTATTAAAGCACCACAGGCAAAATATGATTTAAAAAAGAATCGACAGTGGACCCTGAGATAAATCTTTCCAGTGTAACACATTATGTCGTCACAGTTCAAATGATCATTTTTTCATAAAAGTAAGGGTAAAAATATCACACCAAGCGCCTCTTCTTCCCTTTAATCTTCTGTTTTGTGTTGTCAGTGTTACTGGTCTGTTTAAAAATCTTGTTGGTGTCACACAGCAGGTTGTGAGCACCTTTGTCATGGCACACGATGTGAACCAGCTTCAGGTTCTCCCTGGTGAACAGCAGGCGGTAGAAGTAGTTCAGGTTGACATCTTCGCTCTTGTGATTCTGGAGAGCTTCCAGCAGAGCGGGAATGATGGTCCTTTTCTTTTCAATCCTGGACAAAAGACGAAGAAGAAATGTTTTAAGTTGTGTCTTTAACCAGCAGGTATCTTGTTCTAATTAATAAGTCATCATCTGCTGTCAGCTGTTACATCAGATCACTGTCTACCAAAGCCTGACGAAGCCTGATGGATGATTTGATCCTTGAGCCTAATTATTAACTCATTTAATATTAACCCAAATAAGGCCTTTGATCCTTTCAGTAAGGCTTTTCTGGCACGTCTTTAAACATTTCAATTCACTCAGTCATTGCATAACCCTACTCAATGCAGTAGTGACACCCTTGACCCCTCTATCACACGAGGTACAGAGGTCACATAATGTGATGTCATATAACTCAAATACTTTCCCTGATATGTCAAATGAAATGTATGAATAAATGATTTTGAATATATAATCATTAGAAAGCACAAAGCTAGGCTTGGTTTGCCCTTTGTGATAGTGAAATGCTTTTTGACTAAAGGCTAAAGACTCCAACCTGTGGTCCAGATTCCATGTGCTGAAGAGAATCCTGCTCTCTCGGCTGCCGTAGGGGTTGATGGAGTGGAGAGACAGGCAAACTTCCTGCTCAAATGATCCCTGTGGAAGCAACAGAGAAGAGGAGGTCTCAAAAGCAGGTCCAGGTCTTTTAAAATGTTGTATAAGTTGTGTGGAAAGTGTGGTATATCATCCGTAATGTGTTTGTGTTATTGTGTTACTTTGGTGAATTTAAACTAACCCTTTAAAACACTAAAGTCACACAATTACTTAAACTGATTGAACAAGGCAGTGATAGACCAGCAGCTCCCATGTTCAGCGAGGTGCAGTTTGTGTTTTTGTCAATGGAGTCTGGCTTTGAAGAGAGCACAGATCACTGTCACTGAAATACTGAGCACAGGACTGGATAAATGAGACATGGAATGTACTGCACAAGTCGTGTGAGAGTTTCTGAACAGATGTTTGGAAATAGTTTTGCTGTTGTTAAATGCAGAGCCCCTTTTACTTTTATTCATCAAGAACTTAATGCACTTTTAGATTGTTTGTCCTGTGCAGAGGTATAAATTCTTCCTAAATTCACCGTAACACAGTGTGAGTACTTGATTTACAAATTGTCATTTAAGAAGATAGTACTCCTTAAAGCCCGGTATGTGGTTTTATGTCTGTAATACCTGACAGGTAAACCATCCTTCCTGAGTACAGAGGCGATCCGGCTCCTTTTCAGTCCTGTCAAAGTAGCTGCCGTTGTACCTCGCCGCCTTCAGTGTTTCTGCCAGGCATTTCGATGCTTTCAGAAACTCTGCCTTGATTTTAGCCGTCTCGATGGTTTTGGTTGCGCCATCCACCTGAGAACAGAGTTTCAACCTAAACATATTTGATACCAGACACCTGAATGTTGATGAATAGACTGATGAGTTTTACCTCCTTCATATAGCTTCGTATCCTGCTCTCACAGTTGAACTTCATGTAGGCAGACTTTGTCTTAAATCGAGTATCGACACCTGAAACGAGATCGCACTTAACAACAAACTCAATGACAGATGAATTTAGGGGCACATCAAGTGTTTAGTGGGACATCTGTGGGTCAGAGTAAATTGTTTTTATTGCTAAATCAGCTGCAATGCCTGCTTTCATACTGTACTGTTTGGACTAAAGACCTAGAGAGTTATAAAAATTGTTGGACACAGCCATCACGTTTCCTATGTCAGAGAGCTGTGGGGAGAGGGGTCTCAGAAGCTACTGGACCACGTGATCATCAGTAGAGTATGTGCAGCATTTGCAGCATGTGCAAATGATCTTAATCTACAACACTAAATGTCTCATGAGCTTGAGGTTAAAACCACAGCTTTTGTGGGCCAGTATAGGGCGATAGCGCTGCAGCAAGCAGCTGCAAACACGTTGCAATGTAACCACTTGAGACATTTGTGCACCGTCAATTGACGCCCACTAGAAGTGCTTGTTTTTCCACTGACAGGCTCAGATTGTTAAAACAAGTGTCTGACAACATTATGGAAAGGATCGCTACAGAGATAGACCTTTTTGGTAAAGAATAAGATCCTTTTTGTTTAACCAGAAACAGCCCCCAAATCGTTATCGCCAAACCAACCAGACTCCATTTAAATAAACAGTTATTTTAGCGCGCATAGAGCCTTCACATCTTCACATCTACCTGGGTGACTTAAAGGTTTATTTCAACCAAACCAGATTTGACCATTGTTAGAACAGTGGAAAGTTGAACCAAGATAGTTTTTGTGAGTTTTATTTTGTTTCCATCAGCTTTGAATGAAGTGTGTTTTAGGACGATAGAATTACTCTTTATTTAAAAAGAGTCTGGTGGGTTTAGCGAATGCATTTTTGTGGCTGTTTCTGGTCAAACAAAAAGGATCTTACTACTTTAACACAAACATTGACCACTGTAGGGATCCTTTCCATAATGTCAGACACTAAAAATAACAATCTGTGCCTGTCAGTGGCAAAACAAGCACTTTAGAGGCTGTTGCCCTTTAACATGAAAATGATCTCTTTAAAACAAATAAGTTTACTTCTTCTAATGAGAAACATTTTCTTTTATAAATCATTGTGGCTGCAGTATATTGCTGTACCAACCCATAAACCAAGCAGCTTCAGTGTAGATGTCCAGACTCTCTATTAAACTTTGTACCTTTGAACCAGTCTTCATCCTCCTCTCTCCTCTCCAGCTCAGATCTGTCCTCCAAGTTGAACAGCAGGTCAGTCAGGATTTTACGTCTTTTATGAGACTGCTCATCAGACAGGAGCCCTCTCGCCGCTTTAATGAGGCCATCGGCATGCTGGTCTGTGTTCAGTAACTGATCGATGTCACACACAACTGGAATTGGAAGCACTGAGGTTACTGGGGTCAGACAACATAACCATCATCCTCCATTTAAACCTAAAGAACACATACACAAGTACAGAGTAAAAGAATTTGTCTTGTCTCTTTTTCTTTTAGGTTGATTGACCTACCTCCACTCCATGCCTGATCGCTGGAGAGGAGAACAAGTTCAGTGTTGTCTGGAAGAGTTGGGAAGAATCCCTCCGTCACTTTGGTCCCATCCGCATACAAACACACATGTGCACCAGACAATGGCAACTGGAAATGACATCAATATATACAACAATAAGAATTATGATACAAGATGTTTAAAGTCAAGTGATGTGTAGGACAAAGCCTCACAAATTCTGAGCCATTACAAAGATATATTTCTTGGAGTTTAACTAAGCCAAGGGGATGCCCACTATCTTTCCCTCACTGTCTTACAATATGACCACTGTGGATAGTGAGAGTTATGATGACAGAATATGATGATCTGCATTTATTTCCCTTTGTAGTTCTTGTGTTGTAATTTTTTAGATCAAATCTTGCCTTACACCGCTGAGCTATCTCTGACAGTCTGTTCAGATGAAATTTATCTTGTGTATCTGGTGCTAGAAGGCGGGCGGCGTCTGCTTGTCTGGCCTCCTCTGAATAAAGATGAACTGTTGTGGCCACTATCTCTGAAACACACTTGGTCATATGTTACATTTCATTTGAAAGGAACAGGATGTTTTTTTAAGTTATGCTTTACTATGAAACATCTGCTGTCACTTGTTTTTGCACTTCCATTACATGTATGCACACTTGTCAGGGGTAGTGCACTGTATATGACTTTCTAACATGTTGCTACCTGCCTCTCTGGCCTATCTATGTGCTGCTGGAATGCTAAACCTCCCTCCTGTGTATAAATTAGGTTGTATCATCTCGTGCACAATCAGATAACTGTATCGGAAACATGTTGGCATATCTCTTTGTCCAGGTTGTCTGAAGGAAACCGCCCCTGTATCTAACAGCTGTTAGCCAAACAGCTAAAGTTAGCTTAATATATTCACCTTCAACCATTCACCTGAGCAGCTGCTGGTTAACAGCTGTGTGTTTTCTTGTGTCTGCAAACAGTGTTGACTTTTCTTCTTCTCTTATTTTAACCTATCCCCGCCAAAGAGAAAGCGGAACAGCTGTTAACGCTAAAACAAGCCGGAATAAACCACACAAACTCACCTGTAATAACTTGCAGCCTTTTTTAAGCAACTCCTTCACACCCTTTGCTGCAACTCCGTATTTTCTGTTGTCATTACGACTCCTAATTTTCACGGGTTTACTTTTCCTGAAGAGTCCAAACATTGCACTGTGTCCAGTTTGTACCTACCGCTTCCTTATTCTTCCTCTTGAGGCTGACTGCACTCGGTGATGGTAAACGGCTGCCCCCTGGTGTCTCTCCTCCGCTATTGTCTTTACTTGAAAGGACGCTGCTGAATAGTGGTGTATGAGGTGTTTTACCTATATTTTGCCTAAGTAAAAATGACCATACCATTTAAAAAAAACCCTCTATTACTCGGGAAAAGCCTTGCATTCAAAATGTAAGTGAATAATTATCAACAAAATGAATAAAACCTCAAAGTTAACACGTGCATGTTTAATTTTGTTCAGCTTTGGTGCTCTTTTTTGAAAGCTGCATATCTATTTCTGTCTTTGTAGGTTACATTAAAAGCAAAAAAACAAACAAAAAAATAAACAAACCCAAAAAACAAACAAACAAACAAAAGAAAAACAGAGTCAAATTCCTTGTATGTGCACACATACCGGGCCAATAATATTATTATATTAATGCATTAATGTGTAAGCAGAATTCTGATGTTGTAGCTGGCCAAAGGGAGGCTGTAATTTTATATGACAGACAAGCAGAGGTATACACTGTCAGGATATTGTAATATTCAAATAATGTTCAATTACCTATATTTGCTTATACTGTTATTGTGTAAATGCAAACTGGTAACACTATATGTTGTTGCATGAATGACAAGTGCAAATGCGGGACAAAGTGGTTGATGAACACAAAAGTGTTGGGCTACTACAACCATGAAAAATTCAAGTTTGTATGCTAGTTAATTTTTTTTTTTTTTTTTTTTTTTATGTTCGTGGGCCCTCTGACTGGAATTGTTGAGCAGCTTTGACTCCACTAGTAATGGCACTGACTGTGTGGGTAAATTTATACTACACATGTGGAGCCAGTGGCAGTACAAATGAAAGTAAACCAATCTTGTGAGATTTAGGGGCTCTGTACTTATTCCATTGCTGTCAGCCACCATTGCCCTTCAATTCTGGCACCCAGAGGAACCTATTACATAACAGTTCCCCAAACTTAAAGCAATAAAAAGTTTTTCCCAGCCTCAACCTTTTGTGCCCAGCCTCAACCTTTTTTTATACTTAACTTCTTGACTGTCTGAAGAGCTTCTCCCAAATCACATATAAAGTATGTTTTGAGCATGTAGCTACCTATATGGAAGCATGTCCTGCCTTGGCTCTATCTGACATTTTGGGGAGATTGTCTCTAGCAGGGATGAATTCAGCTGTAGGCAGGCCAGCCATTTCACACAGCAATTAATTTAATCCCCCCTTGTCCCACACACACTGAAGTCAGATAAAGTGGACCATCGGGTAAAATGGGACTTAAAAAAGACCTGTACTTCCCGCTTCCTAAACTTTAACAGCCAGTCATGGGAAATTATCTATACTTTGCAATAAAAAGGGCCACAGACCCTTTTTACTGTAATGGGCCACCTTTTAAGTTTAACTGTTTCATCTTAAATTAGCAATTTGAATGTTTCCTGTCACCTCAGACTGTTGTAATGCTATACAATGTAATACACTACAATTACTATGAATAATTTGAATAATATTTTTAAATAATTGCTAAATAACTATATATTTTTTGTAAGCACATACATAATACTGAAACACTTGTGGATATTCATTGTTAGTCGTATTTATGAAAGACTTCAACTGTATGCTAAAGTGAATATTACCATAGCAACTGATGCAGCGCGGTGGGAAATACCAAGTCAAAGGTGTGGAGGATTTGAGTCGAAGATTGTAACATTTTGATGTGCGGTTTAGTAGTAAAACGACTCGGTGCATAAGCACAATCGTCGTATGTTAAATCTTTATTGTTTGCGTTATTATTTTCAACACATAAAAACTCCGAATGACATAACTGATTTACTTCGCTCACCCCTCTTCACTGAGTAGTACAATCCAATTTCAACATGGCGGCCGCGGGTTTGAAAATCTAAACGGGTAGAAAAGATAACATTTCCAGTAACATCTTAGTTGTACCCTTCATTTCACATTTTTTTTCCGCGATGTCAATCTTATTTTGCTGTTAACTACAGACAATGGTCCAAACAGAAGACATATCCACCATGGCGGACGGCTGGAGAGAAGTGTTTGACAGAAGCCGGTTGGTTCCCCCGCCCAGTCAGACTGTCCGCCTGGCTGTGGAAAGCCACTTCACCCAGTCCCACGGCTTCCAGCTCAGCCTCAGCCGGCTCACTGCTGCTCACCTCCCGCAGGTGATAGCTCACAACTAACGCTGAATGCTTGGTAGAGATTTAGAAACAGTTGTGCTCATGGCAGAAATTTGGTGGTTGTTAAACGAAGTAAATTCCGTGTAGGTTCTAATTCGTGGAGTAGAGCGTTACTTTCGATATTCATTAGTTAGCAAAGATAAGATAAAAGCCTGTGACCCCACAGTGTCCGCCCCTATATGTAATAAATACGTCACAGTGCGTCTGAAGAAAATTAGCAAAACTCCATCCAAAAGTTTTATAATTAAAGGTGACCTTGCATTTATTACACCGGTCACTTGAGTTGACCACGACAAAATACCACAGTGGGCATGCTATGGATCCTCTTGTAAATTCGGTTTAGAGATAATCCAGCTAACACCACTGCAGTTTTAAGTCTTAGCGCATTGTTGTTTCGTGGAAATACTCTTCAAGATAACCTTGACTTTTTCCTTTTTTTGAATTTTCACAAATAGAATAAAGGTTTCACAAAACTGAAACCGTGTTTTAAATAATATTTATCCTATCTGGGATAATTCAGTTCGGATTTGACAAGTCTAAGTATAGTGGTTTTTGATCTACATGTGATCGGTTTTTTTTTGTTGCATTTTCACAAATAGAATAAAGGTTTAACAAATCTGAAACTGTTTTCTCATCAACCCTTATTCAAGCTCAGATAATCTTGTCCAGATTTGACAAGTTTAAGTATAGTGGGTTTTATAAGTACAATAAATGTTAGACAGATTTAAAAAGTGTGTTTCAGACAGCATTGAGGCTTTACCCTTAAATCTCTAACATGCTTTCACAACAGTAACAGGTGCAAAAATCTGAGGATGGGTCGCTCAGCATTTTAAATTACATGTCCCTTTAACTCTCCCCTTAACTGCTGACTGGGAAGCTAATTCCAGCTTAGTGATTTTTGTGGAGTGTGTGTTCATTAGCGTAGTATGTATATGCAGAATTTAGGTTTGGATCATGTATAAAGATTTTAAGTGAAACTCACACATAGGTGTTTGCTGAGAAATTTAAGGTGTATTTTTTTATACATCTAAATCTTTTAGAGCAAGGATTACCTGTGACTTTTCTAATGTGGGTGTCATCCTTTTTTATAAACAGGAGATGTCAGAGGCGGGACAAGATGTGACCTACCAACTGCGAGTGACCCTGTTTGATAGAAACCATCAGCACTTCTTTGGGAAAACATGGAAAAGCCCACCCCAGAGGATGAAAAACAACAAGATCTCCCTCAACGAGGTAGCTTTACAATAGGTTTAAAATAAGGCCTGGCAACTGCAGATAACATGCAGCTGTGATTTACTGTGGTTTTGGGGGCTCTATTTTAAACTCCTCTCATGTTGTTTTGATAAGCAGTGGACTGATGATTATATAGTGAAATCAATGCCCTTTCAAGCATGAATTACATGAATTTAGCACAGCCATTATTTAATTAAAACCAGCTCAAAAGCGCCACCACTCAAGGCTTTCAATTAGCACTGATGATTGGACTGTGTTTTTCTGCACTCTTCAGAATGTTGTCAGCCGAAACTCTGCGAGTTACAAACTACTGTGATTGCCAATAAGTGATTCCAGTTGCATCCAACAAGTCCCGTCCTATAAGGGCTCCACTCATTTCTCACCCAGAAAGTTGAAGAGGAGCACATATTATGTGAGGCAGGAACTCATGAGAGTTAGAGGATTTTTTTCAGAAGAAAATTATGGATACAATACAAATTGGTATCAGCTACCTTTTACACTGTTTATGGTAGACACAGTGAACAGCAGATCAATAAGTAATCAGGCAGTCACCACAAATGAAAAGTGTTCCATTAGTTTTGCAGGGTTAAAAGGTTCAATCGTGCTACATTGCACAGTAACTGTGACAAAGAATTTAACTGTCCCTAAATTCCCTGAAATCTTGGTTTCAGAACGTAAGCATTGCTTTATTACATAGAATAGTCCTAACTGAATAAGAAACGATAACAAAGTTCAACAAAGCCTGAAAAAGGATGTGATGTTCTGTGTGATATGAGAGTATTAAATAAATATTGATCAGAGATGACAAACTGTAAACAGTGTATGAATGTGACGCTTTGTAGTCTGGTAGTGGGATAATGTACCTCCTGAGACCCTGCGTCCTCATACGTGGACATCACATTTTGGGTTTACTTGACCTTAAACTTCATTCTACTGAACTTAGAACTGTCGTGGATACTTTTTTGTGCCATCTAGTGGTAGTAAGAGCACAATACACAAATTCCTGTAAAAACAAGATGGCTGCCATCTCTGCCAAGTAGAGCTTAGATTGGGCCCAAAAAATCCAGCCCGACCCCACCTGAGCCTGTGCATGTTCTGTCCGAGCCCAGCCCGGCCGTCCCTTTAACTGTAATTAGGAGCCCGAGCCCAGTTTAAACCAGACATTTGTTTTTTTAAGGATTGGGACGTTAAAACAGACGTTTTGAGCTAGAGTTGTTTGAATGACTGAAATCTGTTCAGGAGGATCTTAATGAATAGTGCAACAATGAGGAAGGACTATCTCAGAACGGGGTGTTCATTAATAATAGTACACTCGACGAAGCCGACACACACGTTGTCACCGTTGACAACTAATTTAAAGCTGTCCCACACCTCGGACTTCCCTTGAGATTGGGCCAATTTAAACTCTCCTAAGGCTATTTTTTTCTTGACATCCGAAAGCTTCATTTCGCTCGTTAGGCCTCTGTGCAGCAGGTCAAGTGTGATGTGTGTGAAGGGAGGAACTCACATGTGCGTGGCCAGTGGCAACCCCCAGGTGTGATAAGTAGTTGGTTCCATAGCCTAGATC